AGACTGCTATGGGTGATCAAAATATACCAGATGAAGCAATGAGCATAGGTGCAAGCCTGATCTTTTCTGGATTTCGGCGAGTCATTGCTACTATGTGGTAGGTTGTTATTAGCATTGTTCCCTTGGAAATAAATTCTGAGAGCATCAATTGGTCTAGGAAAATGATGGACAAAGATGGGCCTACTATTGTGGACACATTCTATGAAGAACTTTTCTTTGGTGGTCCTAATGGAACACCAGCTCTTCAACCTGATATGACAAAGTCTGCCCTAGCCCTTCACCTTGCAGTCAAGAAACTCCGTTCACAGGGTGTTTCATTCCATCGTTGGGTTCCCTTTATCCACATGGGCAAATAATATGGTTACAATATTCTGTACTATACTGTACATTTCAACTTTGTTTGGGATCTATTTCATTTCTCTGTAAGCAGTCCCTAAGGCAGAATAACTGAGAAGTTATATTCTCAATCAGTGCATCCTAGATATGATACAGTATGGGAACTGTAGTAATCATGCCATGATTACATTCTCTAAGGCTGCCCTTGTTTGTCAAAAATGATGTCTATAAAATGCAATTATGATGAATCAAGGATGATAATCAATGATCTATGATGTTTCACTGTGAAAACAAATTAGTCATATATCCTGTATGCAGTGGCTCACAGCTCATGTTATGCTTTCTTTGCACATTACATCAGTGTGACCCACAAAAATTAGACATTCACAAACAACTTTCAACATGAAGAAAAAAAATGTGAATGCACCATGATCCAACATGATACATATATATCTCAAAAGTTTCCTTTGACTCAGTGTATCTAGTTTGAATTTTAATTATGTATTTGAAGCAAGGGATTTTGGATTTTGGATCTCCCCCTTTTCTTACCATACAACCAACATACAAAACCATTATTGAAGAGTGAGGTGTTGTTCTATGGTCCCACATAAGTGGACTACACAAAATACCTCATAGATAGGATTACAAGATTGGAGGTAAATGATCTATTTTATTCCAGGCATTGGCATGAAATGGAAAATTGCATAACTATGGGCAAAGAGTTTTACACTGGATAATCATTATTACACATGAATGCTTTGAAGAAGTAACTCCACATCTAGAATATGAAGAAAGTATTTGGAGGCATCATCTAGTAAATGGGAGCCATTACAATGATACTACAGACTTTGCCAGACAGAATCAATCATGAGGTGCCCATCAAGTGTCACTGAATCACACATGTGATGGCAAGATGTGTAAAGTACTCAGCTGCCATGTCAAATAGTGGATCTAGGTTAATTAATGTCTTCTCTATTCACCCCCGCAAACAGTATTGCTGATCAAGACAGCAAATTTGGAACGAGAGCTTTGCATTGGTTGCCACTCTGTTGGATGCATTTTACAATAGGCCAATTCCAGGACTTCACATCTTCCAAGACTTCGAGGGCAAATGCATTCATTAGTAGGTAATAATAGGCTTAAGTCAGACACGGCGCTACAAGCTCAACTTTTAGTTCAACCAGGACCAAACAAGGTAAAAAGATTCGGAGGCTTTCCCTCAACGAAATACCTAAACATTTTTCGCCATGATTTTCGCAGCCACCGCGTCCGGTGTGGGTAAAACACCCCCGAAAAACAATCGCGGACTCTGTCCAGCAACGCTCGACTGCCCCGTACCATGATGATACCCCGTATTCAACTCGGACACCACCTTTCCGCAAATCATATCCAGCTCTCCGAGGAGCGTCTGGTGCCTGAAAGCAAGTCTGATATCTGGGACGTTCGTCTAACATCAAATTAAGATTCAGAAAAAAGTCATCATTAGAGGTCGCAGTGCTTGCCTTGTGAATATCGTTTCCAGCCGCACCAGGAAGGTACCATTCATGGCCCAGCCAGTGCCTTTTTATCTCCATCTCAAATCCGCTCTGCCTTACAGAGTTACGAGCCAGCTCGGCGAGGGAGCTCTGCGGCAACTTGTATATCTGAGACAGAAAATTAGACGCGCGCAACTGGAAGCCGAAAATTGAAGCGCCGTACATGTGCCGCAACGCTATATTCCTCTAACAGCGGTTCCTATCATCCACAAATATGATTAAAGTCCATGCGAAAGAGCGGTCCAAACGCACCTTAGTAAAGTGGAACTGTAGTGGGTCATCCGTGCTCAAACTAACATTTAACCCCGTCTTAAAGAAGTCGGGCAGAGGATTCCGTTCATACGTCAAGAACAAGGCGTTGTTGCTCAAAGGACTCATTGCAATCCCGATCTGCTTTAAGTAAAAGAGGTATTGGAGTGCCGGTACCTTGCGTAGTAAAATCCCGTGAGAGATTGAATGTGAAGTTAGAAATGCTGAGGTGAGATGGTCTGTGTCCCCCGCTTCTCCACAATGAGGTCGGAAGACGAAAGTGTCTGGGCAGATGATTAAGTAGACTGTCAGGAAGAGAGAGAAAGCCGTACTAAATCCTCGCAATTTTCTCCAGTTATTGAGGCTGGCCATATTCGCAAACATGTAATAAATCCTGGGAAAACTGTCAGCGTTGCGCTGAGTTCAGATGGAGCATACAAACCAGTATGAGTATGGCGGCGACTGCTGGAAATCCCATAGCCGTGGGTATGGGAATTTCTTGTGTATCCTGCGCTCGACCTTTGACTCATCATCAACAGTATCAAACCCAATCACGCGCTGCAAGAAAATGTGCAGCTCCGGATGAGACCGAGGGTCTCTCGTTACTTCGAAAAGAGGCCGGAAGACATCTTGCAGCAAGTCGTTGGTGTGAGCATGGTAAAAATAATACCGAGGAAAGAAAGACGCACTGACGACTATATCCTCAAATGTCTGAACAGATCCGTTCGCCTTGTATACCTCGTACAATCTTGGGACCTGGATGAGCCATCGGACGTTATGTGAAAACAACTTGTGGTTCACGATCCATTTGGCGAGCTTGTCCCATTCATCCGTCGATCGTCCGTATATGCTAATTCGCCATTCCACATTTTGATATTTGCTCTGCTCCAGGTCCGTCATCAGCTCTGACAAAAAATTAAGCCCTCCACTGAAACAATTATTTGAAGCCTCACCCTTCGTCAACTCCGCCAAGTACCTTCCCTGGATATAATTATCCGTCTTCAGGAATATTTCTCTTAGCCGTGATTCTCCAATGGGGTTGTACTTGAGATTGAATTTATCAAAGCGGTGGAAGGAGTCTTGATGCGCGTGCATATCGAGGGTATCGATAGAGAGATCGTACGCTGTCAGTTTCAAAGATTGAAATACTTGTTCCATGGTCAGCTCAGCGCCATCTCGAAATATCACGACGTCCTATGTGCTCGGTAAGTCCGGTACGGTATAAAGAAGGCATATGCAAACGTTTGGGCTTTTCTTCATTTTTGACTTGATGAACCGGAGAAGATGTTTCTGGTTCATGCTGCTTGAGTGGTGGACGTGAGTGTCGACCTTTCGGAGGTTGTAAAAATCTCTGGAGAAATATGTAGTGAGATTTTGAATTTATAACGACGGCCGCGACCTACCTATGAGGGACGCGCTAAAAATTGAATGGTGTTTCATTCACAGCAGAAAAAGATAACGAAGCAACGCGCCTTCATGTCCGCCAACTCTTGAAACTCATTGAGTAGGGTATACATCGTAAACTTGCCCGATAGGTACTTGAGCCGCCTGAACGCAAAGCTCTTCGTCGGCCCATCCGAGATGACGCCTAGCACATATTCCAAGTCGACAAAATATTCTCGGATATCTGGTATATCAAATGCCGGCGTCGGAGGACCCGTCGGATTTGCTACTCACCGCATCGTTAACTAGCAATCTCATTGAAAGTACACCACGCACTTTTAGCATCCTCATAAACCTGGTATACACCCTTTACATCAATCTTAAACGACCACCCATCCATCACACCGGGTATTTCACACTCCTCCAAGACGAATTCTTCATCTCCTTGCGGCGTTCTCGCTTCGTCTGTTTCCTCCGTCCCCCTCACCACCTGGTTTTTATCCTTCCAATGCCAATGCGGCGGAGGGGGCTTGGGGTATATTTTCCATTTGCCCGGTACACTTGCGTCCTTCTTCTCTCCGTCAACCTTAAACTCCTTGCCCCACATATGCGAATCCGGCCTGACCCCCGAAACGTCCTTATGCTCGTCGTCAACGCCTTGAAAGACGCCATCGTAATCCCTCGGATCATCTCCGAGTCGCTGGCAGGACTTTAGCATGTATTTATCGCGCAGCTCAAGACATTTCTGGAAAGATTGGAGGAGGAGCGACTGTTCAGCTGCCATCATTGCATCTAACATCATTAGGATCAGCACAAGCCAAATAGCATCGTATTGAGCCCACCAGCCGCATGTACCTCCCCAGTAAGCATGGACAACTGCTGTTGCTGTTGCAAGAACGCCTGGCGGCGCCCACCAGCGTCCGCGTCGCCCCCCTCAGCAGCCTCATCCTCTTCATAGAATGTATCCCCACCTCCCACGGTCCCCGCCACCTGTTCACGATGCTTCAAGCTACCTACATCGGAGAGAGCGTCTGAGCCTCGACGGTGTGCCCAGAACTTTTCCTCGATCTAAGTATGTTAGTTGAGAACGAAAAATGGAAGAAGAGGAAGGATACGTACATGCTGTAAACTTTTCTCCTCTGTATATCCGAAGAAGCCATCTTTAGCCTCTGGGATTTGAAGCGCGTTTAGACCCCCTCCGCTCAGAATCGTTGAGGGTGGCGTTGGTGTTGGATCGTGTGAGTTTGTGTCGCTGTGTTCCATTGAGTAAATGATACTTGTCGTCACTGCAGAAATTTGGGAATGAAAGTGATAATATGATGCTATCGATGGTACACTATAGAAAAGCACCAAAGCGCACAGCTAAGGTCTTTCAATCTAACGTCACGTGATTAGCATGTCACCTTCCATTTTCGGATAATACAGCCGTCACAAAGAATGACGTAGTCTCAGAAGCCTTCGGCTTAGACCTTCCGGAACTTCCCTGTCAGTGTCACGTCAGCCGTCACCGTGATTGACGTGATGATGTCCAAATAAGCCAAAGCATTGCAACAGTTGCCAAACAGCTTTTGAAATCTTTTTGGTCCTGACCCCCATTCCCGCCCAGCCTCCCTCGTCGATATTCCCCTCGGCCTCGTTGACGCGGCATTCACACGACGTGCTTGCCGCGTATGGACGCGAAAATGCCCAGACACCAGAGAGCGACACAAGAGACGCGACGGCAACGTGCCCAAACGCGACGCGACGCGACATGCAACCAACCAAACGACTGACATCGACTGTACGCGACCGACGCATAGACACAAGAGACGCAACGGCAACACACCCAAATGCGACGCGACATGTAACCAACCAAACGACGATACGTGACCGACACATCGCGCGAAAATGCCCAGACACGGGAGACCCGACACACGGCAACATGCCCAAACGCGATCGACACATCGCATCGTGCTGTGCCTTTATTGGCCAATGGGTAGAGTGCAGGCGATAGGGAGAACCGTGTATGTGATTCTGTATGCCCCCTCCCCTCCCCTTGTTTTAAATCTGATACCACCCTTTCTACTTATTTTTGTTTGTGTTGATGTGGACCATGGCACGGCATGCTGATGAGCTCAAGCTCGCGCGGCGGATGCAACGAGTTTCCCTGGGGTATGTTTGGGGTGTGCACAAACACCAACCCTTGTGTGTTGTAGATATATGTAGATATCTTATACCATATAATTTATGCAGTAGTTGTTGTCCCCAATATGTCACGGAAAACGAATAAGTGTAGCAAGAGAAACCTTGTAAAAATGTTGCTGTTTGCCTTAGAAAAAAATTGATGTTGCTTATGTCAACCTAACTGGGCACACGGGGGGCATTCTGGACCACCGCTTCCTTCAAACGTGCTGTCAAGTCTGTCAAGGTGCTGTCGTTGTTGACGGGTCTTCATCCTTTCATTTCCCATTGCAACGACGTCATTCTTTGTGACGGCTGTATGCTCCCATTTTCGTGCTCTCTTTTCTAAATAATTGTCTCAGATATTCCAGCAGCACTTTTGTAGCTTAAATTAAACCAATTTATTGTTACAGCTGAATGCAGAACGATAGGCCAAGCCAGATCGACACATGCACAGGGCGGACTCTCAAAATTTCAAAGTGACATGATGACTGAGGCTGTTGAGTTCTCACAAGGTGCGAAATTTCAACCTCCGAATTGATGTCACCCTATATTAATACCATAAAATTTGAGACCCAGTGAAAATCAACTCTGATCAGGCCGAGTCACAGTGACTAGAGCATCAATCGAGTTAGATATATTTCAGGCAATTTGCAAGGCTGACCCACACTAAAAACCACACTGCGTACATGGCTTACATCATGTAATATTGAATTGGATTGAACTCAAATCTATTTGTATAGAATTCTGTCGATAAAACAACACCTTACATCACTTCAATTCTAGGCAATCAGATCTACCTTGGAATAACCTGAGTCATTTTTGACTGGGTTTGAGAGTCCGCCCTATGTATGTGTCAATCTGGCATGGCCTATCGTTCTGCATTCAGCTGTAACAGATATCTATTGTCCAGCCCAAAGGCATAGATTTAGTACTAAAATGATTTCTGGTGATCAAATAGCAAAAATGATGTGAAGTCATGTCAATATCCACAACACAACTATCACCTTAAACAAGGAGTGATTGGGCAGTTGAGCGAAGCCTTTGACAAATTCTGTGACAAATTAATCATTTTTGCACGCTTTATGTAATTAGAACAGACCTGTGGGGAAATTTTTATTTTGACAGTGTGTTTGCCTATTGTGCAAAGGTGACATCCAAATGTAAAGAAATTGTTGTTACTATTTTTAAAATGTATCTAAAGGTATGTCCACAGGACAAAAGGCTGTTAAAATTTGAATTTGTAAATGGAATAGATTTCAGGAACAATGAGCCAGTCAAAAGCATTTGACTGGGGTCTATGCAGCGACACGTGATCCGCCCGTTTGGGCTTTCCTTATCACCTGCGCTTTGTCGCCTCGCTCCTTTCCCTCCTCCCTCGTGTTCTCTTTGTTTCGTCTCTGTATATACCATGTCTCGCTCCTCCATTCTTCCTTGTGCCCTCATATTTCCATACCACTCACATAGAGCTCGTTAGCGAGCATCTTTCTTTTCACCCGCCCTTACCACTTACCCTTTTTTCTTTCTGTTTTCATTTTCATTTTCACGTCTCATGTACTACATACTATTCACCTGTGCCGGCTTGAGCTCGGCCCTCCCCTTGCGGGATCCGTGCGAGAGAGCTTGGGCGACCAAACACGATTTGTTTGTCTCCAACTTTGGGATCTTGCGTCAATCTCGCGCGAACACACCCTCAGTCATTTTTCAACTCACTCGGAGTACGCATAGATTCAGTTTTTCTCTTCAGCACTGGACTGGGCTGAACACATAACTGGACTAGGCAAAACTTTAATCTTTAGTAAAGGTTCACCTAGGCAACACAGTTGTGGACAAATTTTAACAATAATCACATCAATTGTTTTAATTCTGTCAGCCCTGTTGAACAATTGGCAAACATAATGTCACAATAAAAAAATTGTTTAAGGTGTATGTCTGCTCATATCTCTTTTTTTTTTCATTTTTACCGGACTGACAGTATGGGACAGCAATCCAAGGCAACATTGGCAAGGATAAACAATGTAATTGGGGCTTCAAGTATTATTTTGAAACTTATTCTCATGTGTTCTTGATGTTTTCTTGTCTGACTTCAAAGATGTATGTGTATTTCTTCAAAATCTTCTTCTAATCAGAATATTATATTCTAAAAGTTTGTATAGTTACATTCATTGTCATTCTAAACAGAAGTATGGAGCCAGATATTTTGATACCTTATGTGACTTCATGTCTTGGCAAAAATGGAACACACTGGAATTGCACATGGCACAACCATCAACTTCAGTAGGTCCCCTTTTACACCACCTTGGTTGACCAGAATAAGTCAGCCACAGGCCCATATTTCCCAATCTGTAGCCATATCCATCTGATCTTGCTCAAAATTGTCACTGTCTATGCCTGGTGAATATCATTCTAAGTAGTGTTCACAGGTCTGGTTCAGTCCAGTGTTTTGCCCCTCAAACCTGCAACTGTGGACTACAACTGGTCTAGGACTGACCTAGATATTGAGGGAACTGAATTGGACCAGTCTTTTGTGGTGCATGGAACCAGTTCAAACCCAGACCATTTTTTTGTGTAAAATTTATTATACCAATATAAACCATCTGTATCTCAACTATTATTACCCAAAAAGCAAACAGATTATATAGCATAGTAAGGCATGTAAATATTTGTTATTCCACTGATTTGTAGGAGATTTAATGAAGATTTGACATAGCTATGACTGACACCAAATTACATCTCCTAAAGGGTAGAGCCAAATTTATTGTGACAAATCTAAATTATTTGATGCATATCATTCATTGATAGATGATGAGCATATTTTCTTACTTGACATATCAATATCCAAAAACAGAATGAAGCAAAATGATGAAAATGTGAGTGAGTTAGAACTAAAGTCATTCTGGTATAAGTTGCACAAAAGGTATTTGTACCAAAATGGATTTGATTATATCTTTCTCAGTTCTTAACAATTTTGGATGAAGCAAAAACCCAGTTAAATGTCATAAATATGGTTACAAGAGTATGTAACACATGTGACCATTTAAACTGTTGCACCCAATTACAATTGGTCTTTGAACAGTTTTAAAAAAGTTTGAGAGGCAGATGATTAGCTGTCTGAAAGGAACACACTCTCAATCAATTAGTGCCTTCAGATATGATTTTGTATCACTTTGGCATGTTTACAGCCATTTGCAAAAATGATGGCAGTCGCGCAAAAATAGAATAGAATGACAGAATTGTTTGACTTCAAAAATTTTAGCATTTTGAGTGTATGACAGTGTTGTGAGCCTGTCACCTCTTGTCCTCCACCATGTCCAGTTCGATGGGTATAGTGCTTGGAAGTCCAGTCCCAAGACTGAAAAAGACTGAGACTGGACTGGACCAAGACTGCCCAAGACCAGAAATTCTCAGGACTGTCAAAGACCACAACTGCAGTCCGGTCTTCGGTCTTGCACAATTTCGGAATTTCAAGACTAACAAAAGACTGGTCTAACCAGTCTTAACCAGTCTTTACCGGAACTCTTAAGCAAACACAAACACAACTTGTAATCAAACACAAACACAACTCAGAACCAAACACAAACACCACTCTCCTACCACCACCATCCCATCACTGTCACCACCCTTCATGTCCACTGCCTTGCATCACAAGTGCCCACCATGGGCTAAACGACACACATTGACTGCCACCTCACAAGCTGGAGGGTAGTGTTTGCAGGTCCAGTCTACAGGACTGAAAATATACATAGGACTGAACTGGACTGAACCACAGTCTGGTCTTTTTCCAGTTGCAGTTGCCCACATTTGTGGTCAGTCCAGTTGCTAGTTGCCATGTTTTTGTAAATATTTAAAAACCGAAAAAGACTGGTTTAGACCGGTTGCAACCGGTCTTTCGTCCCATCACATGTTGGACCCTACTCACACACATTTTTACTTAATTTTAGGTCCCTCAATCATCAAAAATGGTCAAGAATTGGTTGAGATATGGCCAAAAACTTTTTTATACACAATTTGAATGTATATCCTTTCTGTTTTTGCCATATCTCAGTCAAGTCTTCACAGAATTGCTTACATTTTTGATCAGTCTACGGAGAATTAAAATATCTATCTATGTATGCAATTTACATGAGGTAATATTTAGTTTCTGTGGTGTAATAAATTTTACAACAAAAGACTGGTTGCAACTGGTCTGGACCGGTCTTTTTCACATTATGGACCAATTAGGACTGGTCTAAAGCGGTCCGGTTGCGGTCCCTTAATATCTGGATCGGTCTAGACCAGTTGCGGTTGCCAGTTGCCTCGTTTTGAGGTAAAAAACCAGACTTAACTGGACTTTAAAACACTACTGGAGGGTCAGCAACAACACCCACATGGCCATGGCATGCCACATCGTCCATGATGACACCCCCTGCCACTCTCTCCACATCGCCTATGGCCCACTACCATTGTTAAATATTCACACCCACCTTGGCACATGCACACCCACCAACCACAATGGCAACAATGAGCGCCTGCTCGGTCAACAGTGCATGGAGAAGACAATGTGGCACCTCAATGATCCCCTTGGGATGTGCCATGTCATCCAGACAGCGATGACAGTATGTGTAGGGCAGGTGAGTACATTGTATGCCCTACCACCCTCTTTCTCCTGTCTAACAGCCACAACGCCCAGTGGCCATCATAACACCCACTGCCACATCACCCCCTTGTCCTCTGCCACCTTTGGTGTTGTCAACAACACCTGACAATGGTCACGCGACGATGGCGGATGACAATGACATGATGTGGCAGTGACAACAGATGACCACAATGATGATTGACAAACCAAGGATGATGCAAAGAATGGGGTGACGACGGACAACAACAAGGACATGTGAGTGCTTCCCCCCTACCCCTACCCCCCTCTCTGTTCACCGTTGTGTAGTACTAGCCTAACACAGTATATTTAGTTAATTAGATACATGTTTTCCTTATGTTAGGAGCTCTGAGACCGGTCCTCAACCAGTCCTCAACCAGTTGAGACTGAGACTGGTTGAGACCAGTCTTTCAACTGTAGAAAACCAACAAAAACCGCACTGAACTGGTTGACATCGGTTCGGTCCAGTTTTTTGAGGTTCTTCAACCTGTGAGGACCAATCTTGGTCCCAGTCTTGTCAAATTTTGACAAAAGACCGGACTTCCAAGCACTAGATGGGTAGGCCCTGAAGGACATCCCCAACAAGCCCAGAGGATGTCAGGGATACCAGTTCAGAGCTTGAAGGTTCTGGGAGTCATGGGTCTGATGATGGCTCAGATAGTGACTCATCAAGGTAAGTTCTGACATTTGTTCTTGACTTTCTGACAACATACTTCATCTGTAGCTCTTTGATGGCTTCTTCGCAGCCTCATAGCTATGCCAACCACTTGATGGATCACATACTCCTGCTAAAATCAGCAAGGGACAAGATGGCTGCACCAAAAGCAAATGGGCACACACCTCCAAAGAAGAAGAAGAAAGCTGCCATAACGATGGCGAAACCAGGTATGTGGCCCTTTGTTATTCTTCTTATCATTCTAACAGTAGTCTTTGCAATAGCTGCTGAAACCAAGGCCAAGAACATCACATACAACCTGGTGATATTCCCCACATCCGAGTGCATGAAAGAACTGAAGAAACGAGCAGGAACAAACACCTTTATGAAGCTTGAAGAGGAAGAGCCATTTGATACATGGAAGGCACAACTTCTGGTTTGCATTGACAAGACACTCACCCCAACTGTACTCGACTTTGCCAACTACGAAACAACCTTCACAGTGCCTCACATTTCAACTGCTCCCATGGCCATATCATGCGACGAGGAGTACACAGACATGTTAGAGTGTATCAGGAGGACAAAGGACCTTGTATGTGCTGTTTTTGTTCAGGAGCACCAGCAGATGCTGTCATCCAAGGTATGCACACAATATCTCCTTGCTTCTTACTTCTATATACCCTGCAGAAGCATGAGAAAGAGAATATTCCCAAAGAAAATGAGGACGAGAACATGGAGGATGAGTGAAAGGCCAATAAACAGTGCAAATCCAAGGTATGTGATCGCTGTTACTCATCTTTATGTTCTATGAGTTTACCATTGTCAAGGTCCCAAAGAATTCGGATATCGGCACTGCCAACATTCCTCACAACAACAATATCAAGTCCCTCCATGAGTGGTGGATGTGTCATGCTAAACCCGGCTGCTCTAGCGAGCATTGCTTCATCAATCCCATCGATGCCTCACACTTCCTGTGATATAGGATTGGAAGGGAATGCCCAGAGGCCATAGTCAAACAGTGGTATATAGCTAGATTTGGATATCTTACATAATATATTGATCTTTTGTCTTGAACCACCATCTTGTCAGCAGTCTTGCCATCCTCTTACTACATGTAGTGCTTTGTATATCTGTACTTCCTACAGTATGCATAATCATGTTGGGCCAGCTGAGTATCTTGTAACTGCTCATTGCTCACTCATGGGTGTTGATCCCAGATCCACCCATTCTTGCCTCCTCCTTCCCTCTTGGCTTCAGCTATGCAAGAAGTTCAGAGTGAACGCTTCACACTTCCCTCTGTTGCATAGCCACTTCAATGTATGGGGTTCAGCCATGGTCTGTACTCACACAAGCCATTGAAGTGATGCATATACTAACTAGCTATCTTACTTAGCTCAAAGGTCCGACCACGGCAACCTTGGACACACCACCAAACCACCATTTGTTCAACACCATCTCCAACAATCATCTTGGTCAAATGAGTCCGCTACTCAAACGCCGCCAGCATGCAAATACCTCAAATGGCTCAGTGCCAGTCATCAATTTCAATATTCCAAACAATGTTTTCCAAATATTCAAACCCCCTGCAGCAGTCCGTGTAACACCTGTCCAAGGCACCACCCTTGTAACACCTGTCCAAGGCACCGCCTCTGCCCTGGTCACTCCCATTGCACATATCTCACCTCAGCTTTCTGTTACTGAAATGCTAGTCTCTGCTGATCATGTTCCAGGTCCCAAGCTTCCTCTTGAAGAATTCTGCAGGATGTATCATTTGACAGATGGCATTTGAAACAAACTTGACGAGAATGGTTATTCAGGTACCCACACCTTCCCATATGCAGAATGGAAGGATCTCAAGGATGCAGGGCTGAAAGCTGGTGAGATTGCACAGCTAAAGCATGCCATTTCCGTGTGGTCGACCGCACAAGCTGTTTGATACCAATCGACCCTTGTACTTTTCTTATCACACATTTTTTGTTGGCCCTGCCTGTATTACTGCCTCGCATTGCTCTCGTTACAACATGTATATTACTTAAAAGTACCCAGCATAAAAGAAATAGCCCTCAGCATCCTCAGGTGTGATAATGTCCATTGCAAGCTTGACATCAAACAGAAATCCATCTCCAACTGGGAATAGGTCATAGTTTCAGCGAATCCATGCTTTGATTTTCAAGATCACTTCTTCAATCGGGTTCAGGTCAGGGGAGTAAGAGGGAAGGAAAATGATTTGAACACCTGTCAACATCTATCAGCCAGCTCTAATATTTCTTCTCCATGATGTATTCATGTGTTGTCCATGACAAGGACACTGAGCTTTCCCAGGTATGGTGAAGTCAAAGGCATCTATCAACAAGGGCCCATCATCAGCCTGAAACCATATGTCAGAGAGCACTCATAACACTATGCTCAAGAAAGTGTAGGAACTTTTCTCAGGTCATTGACCCTTCCACCACCATGCTCACAGCAATCCCATCCAGGGTCAACAACCCTTCACCCAAAACCCTATGACCACATACAAAAACACCTCTCATAGACATGTGTTTTCCTCACTTTGCTCAACCTTGGCAGCAATGGATAGTCCTTTCATCCTTCGAGAATTCATCAAGAAATCCAATTTCTTCTGCACTGTATTGGCCCATCTTCTGGATGAAATCTGCACATAAGTCCTCATCATGTTCCTTGGCGATGATCTGCAGCTTTTTGAGAGAGATGCTGGCTTGCTCTAGCTCCTGGTGAATGGTTGTGTAATGCACTGCAATGAAGTGGTTGGTGTCCAGGAGGTCAAGAAGTTCATTGAGGAACCAGTTGGGATGCTGACAGACAAGCGCCAGAAGATAGGTTATGTCGTTGAAGTGTAATTTTTGTGGCTGTCCACGACTAGTGCTTGTTGGTGGCTCAACATGTCCGGTCTCATTGTATAGCTTTTGTATCTGTGAGAAAGTCCTTTCCAAGAATCCTACACAGTCCAAGATATCGTCAAGATTGAGCAAATGTTGTTCATAGAGCTTGATTGCAGCCAGTTTGAGGTCAGCAGATATTTTGCGATAGCCCATGAGGTCAAGATACAAGATGTGACTGGATAACACATTCAAATGTCAAATTTTTCTAAGTTAAACTATTCTGTCATTCTATTCTATTTTTGCACAACTGCCATCATTTTTGCAAACAGCTGTAATTGACTTGGCATCCTGTCAATGTCACGATCTTTCATGAAAACATATCTGGCTTTGAAGCTGAGATGTTTAAGGGCAGTCTTTCAACCTTGAAAGATAGCTGGGTAAGGGAGGTGTGACATCTTGGCAGCACAATTGAGGAGGCACACCATCCATAAATATATATGGCTGCTTACTAGTCATTGCACAACCATCTTAACACAGCCAAATCACATGCTTGTCAGCTTTTGAAGATGATTGAGAGGCCTTACAAGTATAAAGATGTTAGAAAAATAAGGTGTAAAATATGGTACATGAATAAATAATCATTATCTGACTATGATCTCCTCCACTTTGCTTAGTAGTTTCAAGGGTGTTATCAAGTAGATCAAATGCACTTTGCATTGTCTCACCTCATGCAATAGATTTAGTGACTGCTTTCCTTAACTCAATACTAGTACTTTGTCTAATTTCTTTTCTTTGAAGATGTCCATTGTCCACAGATCAAATGTCTTCAAACAAACAGAAGTTGTTCAGGCATTAGATCTAGCACTAAAAATTTCAAACCTCAAACTCAAACAGGCAGGTTCTCTCATGTTGCAGTATTTAGAGTATGTTAATGGGAGTCATGGTGGGCATTTATGTTCTGTACATCAAGTAGCTATGGGAGGTGTAAAGTCATGCATCAGGCATAATGGAGTAAGAGTGAGGGTGAGCCTGAGCTTGGTGATGAAGTTTGCATGTTAGAAAAAGGGAACATAGGTAAGTAGGGAGTGGGTATATTATGATTGCTTGAACTTTGGATCTTGAAGCTTCCCATCATTATGTAGGTTTGTAATATATCATTGCGAGATGCTACCAAAAAGGAAAAAACTCAGTTAGCATCATGATGGAACTTGACACCTGAAACAAGGATGTATCGGGCACCTGAGTGAAGCACCGGACATATCCTAGGACAAATGAATCATTTTTACTTGTTGTTTGTGTATCTGAGAGATACTGAGGACAGATCCTTTATTTCAATTCAATTGAAGGATTTGTTCGCAATATCTATCTTCAGTTCAAACAATAAGCAAATTTTATTTGTTCGTCAAACAATCTGTCAATGAATTTGCTCAAGTGCCTAATTGTCCACTGTTTAAGGTGTGAATCCTTCTAGTTCTGTTCTTAGAATACATGTCTAAGGAATAACTTCAATGATGTCAGTATCATATATTGCCTTCCTTGCTGCATTGTGATTTTTGTAATTATATTTTTTGAAATCCTCAAAATATGTAAGGAGCAATGTTGCTTGTATACCCATACTGGATATGTTCTATGATAATATTGCAATATGAGTCAGATCTACTGTACATCCTATGGAAAATACAAATAAGAATACATGATCTGAGAATGTTGGAATATTACAATACCTTTCTTTTCAACATTCTGAAAAATTTACTTTCAATTTTGGAAAGATGGTGAGCTAATATGATTATGTAAGTTAACTAGACTCTACTAGATAAGACACACCTTTTTTCTTTGATTTAGTTCTTGAAGTATTGGAGATCTAAGTTTTGCAAGTAATGCCACTGCCTCAACTGTCTTTGGATGCTTGTCTCCAAAAATCTTCTTCCAACTTGGACTTCCAGCCTGGCTGCATCTGTGTATTTTTGTAGATAGTAGGATGTTATTGCAAGATCTTCCAGTAGGTCAATTGTATCAGGGTGTTCTTCTCCAAGCAGTCTTTTGCTCAAATTTATAAGTTGGATTTTAATCTTCTCTGCCTCTGTATATTTTCCCAGACCAATAAGCTGTCTGCCTGCAAAATTTAGAACTTCCATTTTGAGCTTCCTTGCATCTGCATGTTTTCCTAGACTCTGACATGTCATTGAGAGGTTATGCATGGCAGAAATTGTATCTGGGTGTTCTTTTCCAAACAGTCTGTTTCTCACATCTAGAACTTTGATTTCTAGCTTCTCTGCATCTGCATATTTTCCCAGACGTGAATATGTATTTGCAAGATTACCCATTGCTCTCAATGTACCAGAGTGTTCTGCTCCAAGATATCTGTTTCTCAGATCTAAAATTTTGATTTGGAGCTTCTTTGCATCTGTGAATTTTCCCAGAGTTACATATGTATTTGCAAGGTCAATCATGGCAGTAATTGTATCTGGGTGTTCTTCTCCAAGCAGTTTATTTCTCATATTTAGAACCTTGATTTGTAGCTCCTCTGCATCTGCATATTTTCCTACACCTTCATATATAACTGCAAGATTATTATGGCCCTAATTGTATATGGGTGCTGTTCTCCAAGCAGTCTGTTTCTCAAATCTAAAACTTTGATTTGCAGCTTCTCTGCATCTGCATATTTTCCTAGACTCACATATGTATTCCCAAGATTGCTCATGGCAGCAATTGTATCTGGGTGTTATTCTCCAAGCAGTCTGTTTCCCAAATTTATAACTTTGATATTTAGCTTCTCTGCATCTGCATATTTTCCCAGATTGCATATGTGCCTGCAAGGTTGACCATTGCGCTAAATGTATATGGGTGTTCTTCTCCAAGATATCTGTTTCTCAAATCTAAAACTTTGATTTGGAGCTTCTCTGCATCTGCATATTTTTCCAGACTCGCATATGTATTTGCAAGGTTGCCATGGCAGTAATTGTATCTGGGTGTTCTTCTCCAAGCAGTCTGTTTCTCAAATCTAGAACTTTGATTTCAAGCTTCTCTGCCTCTGCATATTTTCCCAGCTTGCATATGTATCTGCAAGGTTGCTTATTGCACTAATTGTATATGGGTGCTCTTCTCCAAGTATCTGTTTCTCAAATCTAAAACTTTGATTTGGAGCTTCTCTGCATCTGCATATTTTTCCAGACTCGCATATAGTTGCAAGATTATGCATGGCAGCAATTGTATCTGGGTGTTCTTCTCCAAGCAGTCTGTTTCTCAAATCTAGAACTTTGAGTTTCAAGCTTCTCTGCCTCTGCATATTTTCCCAGACACGCATATGTATCTGCAAGGTTGCTTATTCCAAAATGTATCTGGGTGTTCTTCTCCAAGAATCCTGTTTTCAATGTCCAGAACATGTATTTGGAGCTTCTCTGCATCTGCAAATTTTCCCAGACTCACATATGTATTTGCAAGGTTACTCATGGCATGAATTGTATCTGGGTGTTCTTCTCCAAGCAGTCTGTTTCTCAAATCTAGAACTTGAATTTTAAGCTTCTCTGCCTCTGTGTATTTTCCCAGACTTCCATATACAACTGCAAGATTCCCCATGGCACTGATTGTATCTGGGTCTTCTTCTCCAAGATACCTGTTTGTCAGATCTAGAACTTTGGTTTGCAGCTCCTCTGCATCTGTGTATTTGCCTAAACTCTGGTATGTCCCTGCAATATTCCCCATGACCCTGATTGTATCTGGGTGTTCTTTTCCAAGAGTTCTGCTTCTTACATCTAGTGCTTGAATTTGAAACTTCTCTGCCTCATTATCATATCCTTGTTCCCCCAACAATCTCCCAAACCTTTCATGAGCATCATCAAAGTACCAATCAACCATGTCCTTTTTTGTTTGCTGTATATTGGCTCTCACATGAGTAACCAAAACCCTTCTGAACTGATATGGCTGCCTCTTGAAGTGTCCCAGCAGAGAG